TCGACCACAAACCGCTCCTGGGAATCATCGTGGGAGACAAGCCGACAACCCCATTCTGCCACCAAGAATGCTAAGGTGGACTGAGTTCCTCGCGGTATATGACTACCAGCTACAATACAAACCCGGGAAGACCATCGACCACGCCGACGCACTCAGCAGATGCCCGCTTCCAGAACCAGTGGAAGACCTGGCACCAGCCACAACCACCCTGCTGATAGAAACCATGGAGAACACCCAGATCTTGGCTAGGGACATCACAAGAGCAACAGCTAAGGACGGGATGCTGGCGTGCGTTTTGAACTGGGTATGGAAGGGATGGCCTGGGACTATCATAGACATGGAGTTCAAACCGTTCAAAACGAGACAAACAGAACTATCAGGATTAAAGGGGTGTCTATTGTGGGGGGATAGAGTAGTCATCCCAAAAGCATTAAGGAATGATGTGCTAGACCTGTTGCATGAGGGACACCCTGGGATAGTAAAGATGAAGTCATTAGCAAGAAGCTATGTCTGGTGGCCAGGGATGGATAAAGAAATAGAGACTTGGGTATCGACTTGCACACCATGTCAGGAATCCCGGCCAGCACCACACGCCACGCCCACACATGACTGGGAGAATCCCAGGACACCATGGTCCCAGATACACATAGATTTTGCCAGGCCATGCCTGATCATGTTCCTGATCATAGTTGATGCCTACTCTAAATGGTTAGAGGTACAATTAATGACATCAACAACATCGGAGGCGGTCATCAGGGTCTTGCGGAAACTGTTTGCAACACACTACCCGACCTGATAGTTTTGGACAATGGACCCCAGTTCATGGCGAACCAGTTCAAGATGTTTTTAGCCAGCGTGCTTGCTTCGGCAGCACATATACTAAAATTGGAACAATACAAGATGTTTTTAGCCAGCCAGGGCATCCGACATGTGCTATCTGCCCCAGGGAAACCATCCAAAAATGGTTTGGCTGAAAGGATGGTGAGAACAACGAAGGAAGCCTTAGCCAGACTGGGATCAGGGGACATACAAGCGAGGATAGATAAGCTATTGACCATACAACACATTACATCAGGTGCCACCACACACAGAAACCCGTGGAGCTGCTAATGGGGAGAAAGCTACAATCCCACTGCACCCCCATTACAGTACAGAGAAACCAGTCGATTCGACCAGCAAAATTAGACAGTTCATAGTAGGGGATAAGGTATACGCTAAAAATTTCAGCAGAAACCCCTTATGGATCCCCACAAAGATAATACAAATCACAGGGCCCCTATCCTACAGGTTAGAAACAGAAGATGGGTGAAATTGGAAGAGACATATAGATCAACTCAGGGCCCGACTAGTCAGGAAAGACCATGAAACACAAGTAGAGACTCAGGGGAGGAGAGCAGAAAACCACACAGAAACAGACCAGCCCTACACCAAACACCACCAAGCGAACAACAAGAACGACTCTCAAACCCACCAGAGGACAGCGAACACTTATCTGAAGTCCAGGAGGGAGTCACCAATGACTGCGACAGTCCACCGTTCCAGCTGGGGGGAGACGGAAGGAACACCCAACAGAATAAGTCCACACCGCCAGCAGCAACAGAGTTTGAGAGAGTTCCAGAGGCGCCTCCAGGAGAGACACAGAACTTGACCTCTCACTCCAAGAGTGCTGGAACAACTGAACTGTGCAGGTCCAGTCGCACCCCTAGATGGCCCGCCTACTTACGTGCCTACGTGTCTTGAAAGACTCCAGGATTGGTTGGGGAGGGGTGTTGAGTATTGAATGACCATTCAAACGGACCAATTAGAATTAAATAAAAGACGCAGAAGATTTAGAGGAACGTCAGTGGCTGAAGCTGCGGACAGCTCCCTTTAAAAGGGGCTGCTGCGGCTAGGCTTTTCCATTGCTGTACTGGAGCTAATAAAAAGCTGTTACTAAGTCACTGTCTGTGTCCTTTCTGTACCCACGATCTTGCAACCTGAATGGTGGCAGGCACCTGGCCACTCTGCAGGCCCGGGGAGGGTGGGAGTTTGAAGAACAACTCTTCAAATCTTGGTGGATGGAGAAGGCCCCAAGGATCGGAAACCTGATCTGGCTCTTTATCGGGCTCACCCATCTCATTTGCAAGTGGGCCATGACCAGCTGGGCATGGGGCAGGCGGGGCGGCTCCCGGGGAAACGCAACAAATGAGTGGTGAGTGTCAGCTGCCCCCTGCCTTCCTCTGCCTGATAATTCTTTCCTGAGTTAGCAGGCAGAGGAAAGACTGATCACAACCATATGAGGCGGGTGTTAAATCATAACACCCAGGCCAGGATGGGCGTGCAGGAATCATTCTAGCAAAGGAGTGTGGGGCCTGGATTTCCCCACTTCCAGAGAGGCCAGGAAAGAGGCCAGGCTGCCAAGCCATGCCAGGCCCAGGGCTGTAAAGTATGGCCCTCACTCCAGGCAGAAAGCAGCCCTTGTACTGGCAGGAGGGGAAAGATGATCAGGGCTCTGCTGCGTAGCCAAAATGTTTGGCCTGGCCTCTGACTGGGAGGCAGCATTTCCCTCCAGCAGGCAGCCTGGCTCCCTGCCCTGCTTTCTCATTTAAGAGAGATCCCCGCTTGGCTCGGCTGCACCCCATATGCCCTCGCTTCCCCCAAGCATTTCTTTGCTAACCTGATTTCTAGCTCCATCATGTTTCTCCATCGCATTTCTCACTGTCGTGTGCAGGGAAACCAAAGTTTGTGAGACTAAAAAAAAAAGTTCAATCAATTCCAACTTCATGAGATTTTTTTTTTTTGCAAGAAGTTGGAGTTGATTGATTGAACTGTTTTTTTAGTCCCACATACTTTTATTTCCCTGCACATGACGGTGAGAAACACAACAGAGAAACACGATGGAACTGGAAATCAGGTTAGCAAAGAAATGCTTGAGGGAAGCGAGGGCATCTGGGCACCAGGTGTTGAAATAGGCCTGTCTCTCTCCAGCAGAGGGAAGGCTGGCATCTACTAGCATTTAAACATGGTGGCATTCCAGCTCTGGCCAGGAAGGGGCAGCTGCCATGGCGCTGCAGGCAGGATGCCCGCTTGCTTCAGCACCCTGCCCAACCCTTTGGCACTTTGCCAGTGCTTTGGCCCTGGTCTGCTGCCTTATGCGCAGGTCCCACCCCACCCCTGCTGCCTACTGTAAAGTAAGACATCCCCCCAAACACAGTAGTTTTTGCCTGTGTGACATGATTGAAGACGCCGCGTCTCCATTTGGTTTCCATCACTCCTCTCTTGGACTTTTGAGGAGGGTTTTTTTTCCCCGCCTGGAAGGAAGTTGAATGAAAACCAGATGTGTTCTGGAAAACACAGATTTATCATAACTGGTTTGCCGAACTCAACAAAAAATTAGGTATCGGTTCTGCCAAACCCGTGTGAACTGGCTGAATCCCACCACTGGATAAAGCAATAATAGGAACATAAAATATGATTTCTATATTTATCCCTCTAATATACAAGTCTCAAGTCTTCCTACTTCCTACTTTTAGGCCTGGTAGTTCCCCCAGCCATTAAAGGCCAGTTGAGTAGTGTTCCCACCCCCATCCCCGCCCCATGGCAGTTTACTGTGCACTTTGCCACCATTTTAGATTTTGTATTTATACTGTATACTGTCTGCTCATTGTTATGTTGTTTCGTTTTGATTTATTGCATATATCTTATATCCTGTACCCTCAGATTCACAATGACTGAGTTGGACAGACTTATACATCTTAAAATTAAAGAAATAGTTAAATCATCTTTTTTTTAAATTCAGTCAGTCAGAGAATGACTGTTGCATTCTTGTTGCAAAAAATTCAAATTGTGGTAGATCAGTGATATAAAAGCTTCTAAGATACATTCTCAGGTTTATTATACAGATTTGAATAGATATTAAGACATTGAAAGTTTATGTCATCAAAGGAACTATATAAATAATCTACATTTTAAAGAGAGATAATAGTCTTTTAAACATTTTTCTTCTTTAAATTATTTACCAAGATTCAAACACCATCTTTCAAAAATGTTTGGGATAAAAACAAGTAGAGAAAAATCAGATCTTTGCATTATTTAATTCAAATTTAGTTTTTTGTATTGCTCTCTGTAAATTATATAAACTAATATAAATGGTAGGCCTCCAGCTAATTGGCATAAGCTGACATGTAATTTAAAATATTTAATTCCTGAAGGAATCAGCTTTGAAACAAACTGCATCAGACTAAGATAATGCTTGGGAGTCAGTAGAGATTCTCAGTCATCCAGGTCATGGCTGTCCCAAAGGTGTTTATTCTGGAAGGCAACTGGACTTCCTGTTTTTTCTTTGAAGACGTTTCACTTCTCATCCAAGAATATATATTATATATTATTAAATATTATATAATATAAATCCTTCCATTCCCCACTATCCTGTCATAGCTGAAGAAGCTTCTTGGATGAGAAGCAAAACGTCTTCAAAGAAAACACAAGAAGTCCAGTCCTCCAGACTAAGCACTTTTGGGATAATGCTTGTATATTCTGACATCAGTGAGGAATATTAGAGTATTAAATAAACGTATAGCTAAATTGTTAGTGCAAGCTTAATAGAAAGAATAAATTAGATTTATTCTTAGATTATTAAATTATTAGTAATTAGTTAGATTATTAGTAATAATAATTAGAAAATGCTGTTGGTTCATAGAATACATTGTAATAATTTAAAGTGGTGAGATATAAAGAAGGAGGTACAATCATAAAGAAAGAAGAAATACGTTATAACAGATTTTCCTGAAAGCAATTACTATGTATTTGCTGTGTATTATTGTGACAGTAGAAATAATAAATTGGAGTTCTATATTTGTACTCTACCCTTCTACCAAGAACAGAAATAATTTGTATAATGTTTATCTATGTATATCTCTGTTTAGGAAGATTTAGACTGTCTGTTTTTATTTGATTTATTTGATTTCTATAGCTAACCATCCCAGCAAGCGAATGTTCTCTTATTCCTGTTTTCAATATAGGCAATGATAATTGCTTTTACATCGGATATGATTCCACGCCTGGTTTACTTCTGGTCATTTTCAGTCCCACCCTACGGGGATCACAGTAGCTGTACCATGAAGGGATATATAAACAATACTCTTTCTATTTTTGCTGTATCAGATTTCCGAAATGAAAGCAAGCCACATGTTCTTCCTGTATTTGCCAATTTAACAATATGCAGGCAAGTCTATATCCTGATTAAAGATAGGAACAAAATCAGTATGCCTTTGCTTGTTAGGCTGTGTAAAATAATGGAAATTAAAATTGCTAGAAAAAAAATCAAGGTCTTTTAATTCAACACTATTTTTATTATCTTACATAGTAATATAATAGTAGCATGATGAAATTCTGCAACTCTGATATGGTTGTATATTTGGTTGCAATTTATTCTGATTACATTTACTTATATAGTGTGTTACCTTAAAACCAGAGCAACAGGAATCTTTTGCTCCCCCTTCTGGTCTTTGTACATTATTGCAGAGACATTTGAAATAATTGTTTGAATTACTTTCTTTAACTATGTTAGATATCGAGATTTCCGAAACCCTCCTGGACATAAACATCAATATGAACATAATATTTATTACTGGCATGTTATTGCAGCCAAGTTAGCATTCATCCTTGCGATGGAGGTCAGTATATTTATTTCTAAATCTCCCCCCCCCAATATTTGGTATTAAAAGCCCTGTCAGTATCTGTTTTATATTTCTTACAACTATCCAGTTTCACTTTCTCTATCCTTGTATGAACCTATCACAGCCTATTCCTTCTGCCAGCCATCATAGATTACCATATACTATCAGTGAAAATTATTAATAAGAGCATGTTATTTAAGGGAACACTACACAATCTTGCAATTAGGGTGTCTCCAAACAATTCGTTACCCACGCTTACTGATGTACAGATTCTATTTAATATAATTATAAAAGATGGCAAGTAGGATTAAACATGTCAACTCTAATATCAATTTATAACAGACATGAATGTATGTATGGAAATATTCACTTGTACTTTGATCGGCGCTAAATTCAATTCTATACTTTAAGCATTATCTCTGACATCATTAACTCTTCATCTTGTTTTACTATCATTTTTAACCAGATTACTCCATCCATACTTTTCTGATTCTCACTATCAATTTTATGTTCTCTCTTTAGTTAAAAATGGATACTAAAAATTTGCAAAGATATTTTTTTATTTAAATGAAAAGACTTTAAATCATTTAATTTTACCTTCCCTGTTCTTAAAGATGTATGATACAGTATATGCACTTTGTGAAAAAAAAGTTCAATGAGGATATTTGTATTTTTAAAAAATATTTCCTATGTTGTATTATCCTAACAAAATGGCAATGGTTCTTCCATATAATTTTTTAGGATAAAATTAATTTCCAAATAGAATGCATAGGGATGGAAATAGAATAGGGATGTTGCCTTTTCATTACTTTTGTAATGACTTAGAAGGAAAAAGCAAATCTAATTTTAATGTTAAGGAGATGGCATTAGAATGCTATGCCCCCACACCCTATGCCAGTAGTTTACTAGTAATCAAGTGCTGAATTAATGGAACAGAAATTACCAACTAATTAACCTCTTTTTTAAAAAAAATCATCCTGCAGCACTGCATAAAAAAATATTTCCCTTTTCAGTTGAGCTGAGACAATTGCTCTGTGGGGTACATTTTGTTTTTTTGTCTGGAGATCAGATCCTTCTATCACAATGAATTATAAGAAACAATTATAAGATACACCTTTCACATTAATCAGAGAATTTTAAACTGGGGCATATCAATTTTGCTGTTTTTTCCCCTCCAATAATACTTGTTCATTGTAAGAAACTGATGGTCTTTCTATTGACTTTTTTTCAGCATGTTGTCTACTTTGTGAAGCTTATCATTTCATATACCATTCCAGATGTGTCATGGAAAACTAAGAGCAAAATTAAACGGGAGAAATACCTAACACAAATACTTCTTCATGAAAATCCTCTAAAAATTATTTAAAAAAATATGGGGAACATTGCTGACAAATTATTAAAAGGAGCAGATACCACTTTATGACCTAAATGTGAATAAATGCTAGTTAGTTACAACATCTAATAATGAGTGAAATATTCTATGAAATCAACAGAAATTGGATTAAAAATTTAATAGGTCAATACCAGAAGAGAAGAAGTAAATATTCATAAATAAGTTTAACAGAACGTATAATTTTCATATGTATCGTATATTATCACTCATACATTCTCCTGAGTTGTTTTCTGGCTTGGAAATTTCCTCTTAAAAGTCTTGATATATATTATTAATCCACCCAACCCAACATCCTCTTAGTTCATGAACTTCTCTAGTTGGAAAAATCAATTATGTGTTATTATTTCCATCTTCATATAAAATTTTATTTTGTATTTCAGGGTCTGTTGGACAGGAGGAAAAGAGTAGTTGAATTTCAAGTCAGTTTTCTACTATAGTGGGATATATGCTGTCATATGAAATCATGCAAAAATCTCTTGGAGCAGTATGAAATAGAGCACAATAGATAAAGATGCATTAATATAAACTGACAGATGACTTACTTAAACTAGAAAGAGACATATATCTTCCAAATGTTTACAATAGAACCTTGTAAAAATGAGTTACAGCAAGTTTGACTCAACTATTATTCTAGTGTAGAAAACGTCATATAAGAGCTATGAATTTATATTCAACCTAACAGTATTTTATTATGTTTACCGTATTTCTGAATTAGATGTAAGGCAGTGTGAAAGAAAACACCTGCAGATCTAAATTAGGGGGGTAGCTGTGCACTTTCTAATATATAACAAGCATTTTATAGAACATAGAAGATAGGAAGACCAACCATCTGGAATTGTGCCAAATTATCCAGATTTTAAAATTTAATTTAATTTAATTTAATTAATTCAATTTATATGCCCTCCATCCACATCTACTCTGTGGCAGATTTTCCTTTTGTCAACCATTGCAGTTCGGCAGTTCGAATCCCTAGTACAGGTCTCCTGCATGAGCAGGGGGTTGGACTAGATGACCTCCAAGGTCCCTTCCAACTCTGTTACTGTTACTGTTTTGTCTGCTGTCAGCTAGCTTGCTTCTTGCTGCCATAGAAGAGGGGAGAGGGATCAATGAAGAATTTTTCATTGCAGTTTTGCAACTACTCTTTGCTTATCTCTCCAAGGTCAGTTCTTCTAGTGTTGATATGCAGAAGCCCTCTGGTTGCCTAGGTACAAGAGAGTTGGGCTGTACAGTTTGTTTCAAGTTGCTGTTTTCGCATGCTTTGCCTGTTTTCATGAGCTTCCCCAGGGATGGAATTTCTTGCTTTTGGTTCATTCCTAATAAAAGTACTTTTCTCTAATTCTATGGAGCTCAAGATTTTTCTTTCCTAGAAATTGGACAAAGGCAGCCCTGACATTAGGCAAGCTCTGCTTTAATGCTCAACCTGGAGACAGCAGTCTACCATGGGGACCAAGCATCCAATGTCCAACCATGGGACTGAGCTGGAAGAAACTGGAACTATGGCCAACTTCCCCACTAGACCACACTGTGCTTGAGATGAGGCAGAATGGCGAGAGGAGCTGGACTTCAATGTGAAACCCAACAGGTGAGGGGGAGTTGAAGAGCCCAAGAACCTGTTGTACAGACAGCTACCCAAGGTTCCTGGTTCATCCCAGACCAAGCTGCACAAGCTATTCTACCTGCATGGACTGCTCCTCAAAGGCACCAGAACCCAAAGGTCCCAGCCTTGGAGGTTAAGTATGGGTTAAGTATGAGCAACTGGGATTTTTCCTGGTGCAAGTCTGGAACTACATGCAGGAGTATGGAGCCAAACTGGAGATTGGAGAAGCTCAAATAAGATGGGTAACCATGGCTCTGGAGGGTGCAGCAGCTGAGTGGATGCTCTCCCTCCACAATAACAATGCCTCCCAACTGTGGAACTATGACCGCTTTATGGCAGCCCTTCGCCAGTGGTTTGAGGATCCACTGGCCAAGCACAAGGCTCAGATCTGGATAAAGATCTGAGCCATCGTCCAAGGGCGATGGTCAGTGGCCATGTACACCAGTGGTGGGATTCAAATAATTTAACAACCAGTTCTCTGCCCTAATGACCAGCTGGGTAGGCATGGCTAGGTGGTCATGTGACTGGGTGGGCATGGCCAACTCAACATCCCTCACCACGCCTGGCCCCACCTCCCAGCCACTCACCTCAAAGGCATCAACAAAATACAATCTCCATTTATTTACTACTACTGAACATCACTTAACGGTGGCAAGCAAAATCACAAAACGGAGCAAAATTCACTTAAATCTTGCTTAGCAATGGAAATTTTGGCTCAGTTGTGGTCATAAGTCGAGGACTATCCCTAATGAGAATGTGTAAGAATGCAACCTACAACCACATACAACCATCACTCCCCTTTCCTTCTATTTATTCCCCAGTCAGGAAGGGGCCATTCAGCGTCCACATGTGCTTTGCTTTCCGAGTCGACTCCTTCTTGTTCTCATCTCCTAACAGCTCTGCGCATACACAGGCCACAGCTGTTCTTCATCCCCATCCCCATTTATCTCAGCTTCCGAAGGCAGCTGCCTCTCCGGAGGCTGGGAAATGTTGGATGGCCCTGGGTCTATCTCTGCTTCCAAAGCAGAGCATCCATCAGAACTGGCCCAAGTTCCTCCTCAACCTCCTGATCGTCCGAGTCTGCCGCCAGCTCTGCTGGCAGCTGGCAGGCCCCAACAAAAGGTGAGCTCCTTGGTGCCAAAGAAGGGGCTGGGTCACCACTGAGGCCGGCCCTGGATGGGCAGGTTTCTCTCCCCACTGGCCAAATTTTGCTATGCACTCCATGACCTTCTGCGAGGCGACAGCGCATGGGCAAATCCCAGTGGTGCCATGAGGTGTGTGCGTGTTTGCTCTGTGTGTATATTTAAGGCCAAGAAGGAGGAGAAGGTCCCAGAGTGCATTGCGAATTTCGGCCATTGGGGGAAAGACCTGCCCATCCAGGGCTGGCCTCAGTGGTGACTCAGCCCCTTCTTAGGTCCCACAGAGCTCACCTTTGGGCTCATCAGGGTGACTTTTCCCCACCAGCACTTTGCTGCCCCAGAGTAACAAGAGGCCGAATTTCACGATATGCTCCGGGCCTCTTGACACTCTGGGGCAGGAAATGCAATGTAGAGGCTGGCACAAAGAGGAACAGGGAAAGAGGAAAAGCGCCCTCCTTCTCTCACACTGGCTGCTCCTTTTCACCCCCCTCGCTATCAAATTGGATCCTGGGTGCTGTGCTGCAATGGACATGGCTGGCATGAGGCTGGCATGAGGGAAAACAAGGAGCAGGGAAAGAGGAAAAGCAGCCTCCTTCTGGCTGCTCTGTTGCCCATTTCTCCATTGCAGCGCAGTGTCGCGAAGCTGGCCACACCCACCCAGGTGCCCTAGTTTCCCAAGCATTTATTTGCCTGATTTCCAGCTCCATCACATTTCTCGCCAAGTTCTGCCTGCAGCGCCCATTCTGGCTGCCCCTTCCCAGCCAGAGCTGGAATGTCTCTGTGTTTAAGTGCTGGTAGATGCCATCCTTCCCTCCAGTGGCCCTGGGCAACTGCTGAAGAGTGACTGGCCAGATGCCCTCGCTTCGCCCAAGCATTTCTTTGCCTACCTGATTTCCAGCTCCATTGTGTTTCTCTGTCACATTTCTCACTGTTATGTGCTGGGAAACAAGTTTGTGGGACTAAAGAAAAAGTTCATTCAATCAATTCCAAGATCTTTTTTTTTTTTTTTGCAAGAAATTGGAATTGATTGATTGAACTTTTTTTAGTTCCACAAACTTTTCTTTCCCTGCACAATGGTGAGAAACAAGATGGAGAAACACGACGGAGCTGAAAATCCAAGGCAAAGAAATGCTTGGGGAAAGCAAGAGCATCTGGGTGGTGGTAGGTGGGACAAGCTCCACAGCGCAGTGCCACAGTCGTCCATGCAGGCTGGGAAGGGTGTACCTGTGGCAGGCACCAGCAGGGCGTACTTGGTGAACTGCTCAATGAACTCATAAGGCATACCCAAGCGGCAGACACAGACCAGGAAGGTGCAGGAATGCTCAGGTGCAGGAACGGCAGCAGCTGGGAGGAGGAAGAGGAAGGACACTGGGCCAGACCCACGGAGGGAGGGCTGCCCCCCTGCCCCGCCCCCCTGCAGGCCACCATCTACAAAGGAGTGCGGAGATGCCAAAATGTCCTCAGGAGAGGCTGGCCAAGGCGAGGAGTGCCTGGGAGGGGAGGGGAGGAGAGGGGAGGGGAGAGGGGTGGGATCAGTTAGTTCTTTGAACTGCACACAAACCTACCAGTTCTCCCAAACTAGCTGAATCCCATCTCTGATGTACACACAGGAGTTCCAAGAGCTGGCAGGCGAGTTAGGCACATGGCCCAAAGACATCCTCATTGACTGTTTCAAAGATGGCCTCAACAACAATGTCTACCACACCTGCATCTCATGCAGGGCCCACAAACTCTACAACACTGCTATGTGTTGGTGAAGGAAGTGGAGATTGACTTCACCTAGGAATGATGCTGGAGGGCCGGCAGATGGGGCAAGTCCACCTCTCCCACACATAAAACACACTCCAGGACCACAATGTGCTTCAGATGTGGGAAAGAAGGTTACCGAGATGCAGCATGCTGACCCAGCAAACCCAACCTTAGCGCCACAACAACTTTGAGGGAGGAGGCAATGAAACCAGTTCCGAAGACCTGAGAAACAGGGATGAAAGGTCTGGAAGTTATAGAGTTTGGCCCTCCTGGTTCTGAGGGGTTGTGAACTCCGACCAGCTTGGGTGAGACTGAAAGCCACAATGATGACCCCCTGGTAAGTTGGTGGATGACCCCTGTAACCCTCCCTGTGGAACTAGTGGTGCTGTCAGATCCATGTATCTGCCATTCTTCAGGGGAAGGGTTTTTTTAATTACTACCTTGTTTATTAAGTTCTTTCTCATACATCCTGTATTCTGAAATGTATTAGTTTATAGCTTTAGCCTGGTGCCTAAGAGCCCTGGCATTTTTGCACTTTTTCAGGAATGTATGGGGCAGAAGGGCCATGTGGATTCCATCACTCGAGAACCAGCAGAAGGATGACCCTGAGAAAATTCCCTTATTACTTTCTCAGAGCGGCCAGTA